TTTTTTTTTTTTTTTTTTAATCATCGTGAAAACCCGAAAAGCTGCGCTTCAGCATCCGGATATTTTGGTATTGCTGACGGTCCCTCGTCTTCGAAATCAAAAATATTCAGTGCACACAGCGGTTTAAAAGCACCAAACCCCATCCAAATGCAGCTTGTGGTGTCTCAGCGTGCTGAGAGCTTCACCTTCATCCAAAAAAGCCACCGAGGCCCTTGACCATGTCCTTCATCTCATGGTGTTTGGATCGTTTGTTCCCGGATGGGTTCAACCCCCAGGAAGGCTCCCCTTGCAGTCCAGTATCCGGTTGGCTGAACCGACAACTTTTCTGGAAACTCCCCTCAAATCTGAGCTAAAATTAATCTCTCTTTGATGCTGAAATCACAGCTGTGACAAATATCCAGCCCTCTCCGTGATTCATGTGTTCTCTCCGAATGGGAAGTGTCAGAGTAGCACAATTTAGTAACTTGTGTTTACTTCCCCCTGCTTCAGCAATTCTAATTTAACGCGGGATCAGTTGATCTCCAGACCCACCCTGCTATTACCTGCCTACATCTGACTCTTTCCCATTTTCCCAACCTTTCCCTTCCACCTAAGCACAAAATATTCGGTGTCCTGCGACGTCACCGAGCGGGGGGAGCGTTTCCCGCACTAAAAGCTGCAGAACTGATTTCAAATCTCACGTCTTTTTTTTACCCACGGAGTATTTTCTTGTGTCAAAACGTGCCCCAGTTTTACCTGCACAGTGTGTTTATCTTCTTTCTCTCTCTCTCTCTTGGCAGAGTTCCTTCGAGCCTGGTGACCCCCCAGACCATGTGCCCACCTCCAGGAAGGTAAGACAGTGCTGGATACCCTCAGAGGTGCTTTCAGAGCTCGGTTCTGCTCCCCAGGGGTCCCAAAAAGAAGGGATGACACCTGCTTTCCTGTTGTTCCCACCTGTCCCATTTTCCACCTGGATTAGGACACACCATTCCTGTACAAGCCCCTCCCTGCCTAGTAAGTTAATTTGCAAACTTCTCCTTTCCCCAGAGCCCCAAACCCCAGTTTGGTGCAGGCTTCAAAGTCACACTTCCTGCCATTTTTTTAATTTTTTTTTTTTCCCCTTTGGTTCCTTTTAAACCATTTCAACACGTTAGAATCGGTTTCCTGCACGTCACACTTGTTTCTCTGGTGATGGGTGTGTGTTTGAGGCAGAAATCCTGGTGGTCCTTCCATGCAATTAAATTCAAAAATAGCCGTGGGGATCCTGAAATGAAGATGTGTTTCTCTGCAGAGCTGTCATCCTACCTGGTCCCTTCGGCTGAGTTCTTGCTGTTCTCTCCCTTGGGGATGAAACAATGTGTGTTTTAAGGCTGGCGTTTCTCTTTCCTCTCTCGTGGCCGTTGGAAACGTGTAAATGAAACCTCGCTGTGCCGAGCAGGTGGGAGTCGTATTTAAAACCCTGGCGTTAAAGCGAGCGAATGAACTAAGCAACAGAGTTAAAACCTGCACGCTGAGAGGCCAAAGCTCTATCAGAGTCACCCCAGTCTTAGCAGGAGCAGCTGAACCCGAGGGAAAAACACTCCTGGGAAGGAAGGGAGGGAGCTCTGCTTGCACGTCGTTCTCCTGGGCACCACTCGCTGTAAGAACTCGCCAAACCCACCTCGTTAAAATCAGGTGGTCCCAGTTGTGAGAGATTGTTAAAAAAATCACCTGCATTGGAGGGACTTGCTTGAATTAGGGCTGATTTGGTTCTCTGATTTGGTGCCGCTCGAGGGGATGCAGTGAAACGCAGCTCGTCCTATTTGGCCGAGGCAGCAGCAAAAGGAACAAATCCGGGCCTGGTTTTGTAAGGAATATTTTTGTTTCATGTGACAAGAGGAGTGGAAAAGAATTATTATTTTAGAAAGGTCAGTTTATAAATGCCAGTCCTGCTGGTGGAGCATTGAACAGCTCAGTCAAGGGTGAGGGATTTGGGGTTTTGTCTTTTCACGGTGATGCCTCAACCCTGCACTTTGTAGGGTTCCCCTCTGAGAAGGATTTTCAGGAGGGCACCATCACCCTCTGCCTGCCCCTCACTGTGTCACCCTCCACCAGAGGAGCACCAGGCTCCACACTCTCATTTCCACGTGGAATTCGAAGCTGCTCAGAAAACATTTTATTCTGGTTTTGACTTTCCTTTTTTTTTTTTTTTTTTTTTTTT